AATAAATATAGTTTAAAAAACTAAAAAAACACGCTTTTAAAGTACATCGAACTAAAAAGTTAAAAATAATTTTTAAAATAATTATGAACAAAAAATACTAGTATTATTGTGATAAAAGCGTCGGGCGCTCAATATACGAAAAATATGGCACAAAGCACCCACGCTTTTATCACAATAATACTAGTATTTTTTGTTCATAATTATTTTAAAAATTATTTTTAACTTTTTAGTTCGATGTACTTTAAAAGCGTGTTTTTTTAGTTTTTTAAACTATATTTATTTTTTACTTTTTAGTTTCATGTTATGATAGTAGTTACTATCAATATCATGGTTGTTACGGGTAACGGGAAATCAGGGTTCGATTCTGGGGAGGGAGTCTGAGAAACGGCTACCACATCCAAGGAAAGCAGCAGGCGCGTAAATTACTCACTCCCGGAACGTGGAGGTAGTGACGAAAAATGACGATACGGAAATCATCCCTCGTAATCGGAATGAATACTTTATATCTCTTAATTAGAATAAATCGTGTTAATATATTAATTTTAATAGTAATTAGAATATATATATATATATTTATATATATACAAACAATGCGACTTCACTACGTAAAAGTATCATGCGCTAGGTATAGCTGTTTTATGCCCGGGCGGGTCGGACTAACGTTATACCCGAGGTATAAACGGCGGTAGGAATATATATATATATAGACGTAAGGCGCATTAGTCGCGGGCGTTATTGGTCAGTCAAAATAAAAATTTGTTTATATATATATAATATTGATGACAAGCACTTGTGTACGGGTACGATAACTAAAAATAAATTTTTATAGGAATAGTGTGCCGTCGTATTGTAAGCGTGGCGTAGGGAGGGGTGAATGTCTAATCTCAAGGCCATAGACGACGGGATACGCGATAACGCGTGGCGTTTGAAGAGTTACATACATACATACATATATACAGGTGAAACTAATATAAGCGTGTTAATATATTCAATTTTTTAACACGCTTATATTAGTTTCACCTGTATGTATGTATGTATGTATGTAACTCTTCAAACGCAACGCGTTATCGCGTATCCCGTCGTCTAGACTAGACTGTCATAACGCATTCACCCCTCCCCACGCCACGTTCACCACTAGCCGGCACACTATTCCTACAAAAATTTATTTTTAGTTATCGTACCCGTACACGCGTGCTTGTCATCAATATTATATATATATATAAACAAATTTTTATTTTAACTGACCAATACCGCCCGCGTCTAATTC